ATTAATTACTATTGCTTATGCTATAGCTACAGTGTGTTCCAAACCTTTTTTTCCCCACTTACATCAGCTTGACAAGAACTTGCTATTTCAGAAAAAAAAATACATGTATATGTTAACAATGTTTATCAACACAATTAATGATTTATCACGGACGTCCTGTATCCTAATGATCATATAAACCTGCATCATGTGCCTCAACTAAGACTGTATCCACTGAAGTGGTTCATTCAAAATGCTTAAATATAAATACCTAACTGTAAATATAGTGGCAGACAATAGCCATCCTCAGATCTAAAAACTATGTCATTTTGGTAATAATTAACTAATCTTAATGACATGCGCAGTTAAGGTTGAGAAATGCGGAGTGCTTATTGTATACAAAGTATCCAATACATCTATTAAACATGTATTTAATTCGTGAAATGGTAAAGGATGAAATGTTATGTGCTGGAGGCACAGTTTTCACCCTTTTCTTTAGTTCATCATATTTTCCCTCGTTATATGTTTGTTGGAGCTTGTTTTTGTACAAGTTGAAGTATTTCTCAGGTGCGCATGTTTAGTTGTGTTTTATCGGTAATTGGTGGAATCACTGCTCCACCTATAAATAGGCTGGCTTTCTGTATGCTCACTCTCTCACTCTTGCCTCCAGACCCGCTCACCTAACAGGCTCCACCTTGATGCGGTGTGCCTTAGACCGGTGTGCGCTCTGGATTCCAGCTGACACACTGGCAGCTTCTCTGATGCCGGCCTGGCATCTTTTGTTCTTGGTTTCTGGTTGTTTGACCCAGTTCACCCTTGGGGCTTGGGCTTAGCTTGGCGTGATTCCTTTAGCTCAGGTGTCGGCACCATATCTTTGTGAGTTGACACTTCGGTTATTTTTGGGGCACGAGGTGGTTGAAGGGTTTGTTCATTTTTATTGTAATTTTTATAAATCAAGACTGGAATAAAAATGAAAGTTTAAAGACCCAACCTTTGTTTTCTGTGTTCCCTTTGTAAATATGTTTGTCCCTTCTTTGGGCCGTAACATGAAACTATTTGGGTAACGAGTGCATCCACGATAGGACGAGGCAAGGGCAGCTCAAGCCATCTCACCGATTTCGATGA